TGATTAATGAATTGTCCCGCCTGACTATTCCTAATTGTCTACCCTTACGCTCCTAGCAAGAAAGTCCACAGAATTTGAGCATTGGAAGGGCGGGCCAGCGATTCTTTTGACTCGCCAGTTCTTATGTCTGCGCGAAAGGGCTGGCTTGGCCGGCTATCAGGCTGAAAGCCACTTTACGCTGAACACACTGGTGATTATATAGTGGGTCTACATATACATTGTATGCTCGATCAAATTAACACGAAAAAAAATGTCGACGCCATTCAACATCTTGATTGCGCAGTGCGGTTAAGTCATTGGATTAGGCCACATTGTGCGCTGATACGGTGCGGTTATCGTATCCGAGAAAGTAGTGGGGGAGAAGTGAGAGCCTTGTGCATGAAAAAGCGGAAAGAATCGCAACACACTGGAAGTGAGCATTCTTTCCTTTAAAGGACGAATTCACGATGAAAAAGCAACCCATTTCAAATTAACCTAGGGATGGTGAGTGGTACACGAAAGAAGGAAGAACCATGAGAAACGGCCCAGAACCCGAGAAATGGGACCCCTTCCTTGCCCGTTGATTTGAGCATTGATGCGACTCTCATCGCTGTGCCCTCTTCAACACTACGCTCTCTCAGCTATCTAATCACTCGCCACGTATTGACCTGCGGCGAGTGATTAGACGAGGTCGGTGGGCCGGGTCTGTTAGTCTTCGGAAATTTTTTACGACCCCCCCCCCCTTCATGGGTGATTTGATACGACCCCCCTTGTATGTAACACTTGTGTAGAAGGCAGTGTTGCCATCCTACAGTGCGCGTCAATTGTATATGCCACCCCCTGATTTTTTCAGTTTTCTGACTTATTTGGAAATTTCGTAAATCGGCATAGCAACCATCGTTTTCGGCGTGTCGGAAAACTAGAATGGTGTTGTTTGATTTTGGTTAACGCGTGGATTTGAATTGCTCTGTTCTTTTGAAGAAAATGGGCCGCGTCAATTGCTTATGCCATCCTAAAGTTTCTTCAGAATTTCTCATGTCTCTAACGCTATTCAGCTACGGTGTGCATGTAGTACAAATGAGGAAATCCTCGACTTATGCAATGCACACAAATGGTGAGCATTTATAACTAATTAGTTCGGAATGCTAGCCCCAATACTGGAGTTTTTTTTTTTTTCGTGTTCTAGCAGCATGAAAACGCTTTATCAGAGAAAGTGCTGTGTGCTCACTCTTGCGATCGCTCCTGCTGCTTATTGTAGAACTCATCGAGGAGTGTATCCAGGCAAAACTGGGGAAATTGAAGTGCTCAAGGAGCCCTTAAATTCTCATTTTCCCGCTTCGAATCCGTGGTCAACTTTATTTGTGGTCTCGGCTCCCTGCGAAGCTCGAAGCGTTCACGCTCACAAAGTCTCTGTTCAGAGAGAATATGAGTTGCACTCACAATCCGCGTAGTACCCATCGCCGAACTTTGTCGGATTCTCTCTGGAAAAATTTTCGTACCGAGCGAGCGAAAATGATGACATGGGCCAGTTGTAACTTGAACGGGACACCGAAGTGGTGGCATGGGCCATCATTGCATCGCCTTGATAAGAAAACTTCGATCGAGTTCAGTGATGGGTACCAGACGGGTAGTAGGTACGAGTCATGTTTCTCTCTAAAAAGAGTTTGTGCGTGAACGCTTCGAGCTTCGCAGGGAGCCAAGACCACAAATAAAGTTGACCACGGATTCAAAGCGGGAAAATGTGAATTTAAGGGCTCCTGAAGCACTTCAATTTCCCCAGTTTTGCCTTGATACACTCCTCGATGAGTCCTACAATAAGCAGCAGGAGCGATCGAAAGACTGAGCACAGCACTTTCTCTGATAAAGCGTTTTCATGCTGCTACCGTCCAGTATTGGGGCTAATATTCCGAACTAATTAGTTATAAATGCTCCACCATTTGTGTGCATTGCATAAGTCGAGGATTTCCTCATTTGTATTACATGCACACCGTAGCTGAATAGCGTTAGAGACATGAGAAATTCTGAAGAAACTTTAGGATGGCATAAGCAATTGACGCGGCCCATTTTCTTCAAAAGAACAGAGCAATTCAAATCCACGCGTTAACCAAAATCAAACAACACCATTCTTAGTTTTCCGACACGCCGAAAACGATGGTTGCTATGCCGATTTACGAAATTTCCAAATAAGTCAGAAAACTGAAAAAATCAGGGGGTGGCATATACAATTGACGCGCACTGTATTTATGCTACGAAGTCCCTAGCCTCCTGACGGTGGAGCGCATTTGCTCACGGTGAAGAGGCGTCGAACGGGGAGTGTGAAAATTCGAGGAGTTTTTCTTTTTTACATTTCAGGTAGTTCGGAAGATTCAGGTGGATTTTGGATCGATGTGGCTCCTCCTTCCTAACGAGTGCTCATTTGTTCTCAAACACTTCGGAATGAATAAGTTATTAGGCAAAAAATAAAATTGAAACACGATTTTTACACTCCTCTTTCTAGGGCTATAACTTCCTTCATATTCGAGCTTCTGCGCCGAAGTGATTTGATTTGGAAAACTCAAATTATTCTCTCTCCAACCATGGGTAAAAATTCTTCGAAAGTTAATTTAATAAAAATTTAGTACGTTGTTACTTTTTTCTGTGCAAAGCGACTTTTTGACCTTTAAACGATCATAACTTCCTTCAAAGTATTCATTTTGGAAGCTGAACACGTATAATAAACTACAGGATTCAAGCTTTCTAACGAGCACCCAAGCGTTCCTGAAAGATCAGTAGTTCAAAAATTAGTCCCGTTGTTACTTTTTTGGGGGTTTGCGTTACTATTTTTTTGGAACCGCGACTTTTTGACCTTCAAACGATCATAACTTCCTTCAAAGTCATTCATTTGGGAAGCTGAACACGGTATAATAAACTACAGGATTCAAGCTTTCTAACGAGCACCCAAGCGTTCCTGAAAGATCAGCAGTTCAAAAATTAGTCCCGTTGTTACTTTTTATTTTGAGGGGTATTCTTCAAGCCATTTTCTCGAAAACGCGAGTTTTCTTAGGTTTCACTGCCCGTAACTTCTTGAAAGACCAATTTTATGTTTAATTTAGGATGTGCTAGAAAGCTCGAGCATGCGCTTGCACTACCTCGCTTGCCTTGATTGGGCGCCACGACCTCGCGCGGCTGATTCATTCGAAAGCTCATTAGAGGGAAGCGTTGTTTATAGATGCTCTAGTACCAGTCATCTTACGAAAACGTAACGTGCTGGCTATTATCCGATATTACCAAGAATCCCACTGTCGGCCACCGAGAGGGTACGACCCCCCTCCAAGCTCAACTGAGTACGACCCCCCCGTTGTTACTCGTAACAACGTAGGGTTGACCCTGGTCGGACCCAGCCCATCGCGCACCGCAATGCTCGCTGCGAAGTCACCGAGGTCAAATATTTCGTTGCCAAGCGCGCGTCACTTCGCACTCTCAGGAAGTCCGCCGGTCTCTCAACTAGATGAATTTATCCTTCTTCGAACTTCATTCTTACCGTGAATTCCTCCTTCAAACTCGTAATTGTTTACGAGACAGTCGAAGAGGGTCAGTCTGCCCAAAGGCACGTACGCGCTGAGATCGACGAGCCAGAACAAGACAGGAACGAATAAGCGTTGCATCACAAGTGAGAGCAGTCGTCTGGTTCTTGCACTCATCGCGTACAAGTCGCACGAACGTCACATCTTCAGCTGTTGTAGCTGCCGGACTTTTTGACTGACGAAAACGTTTTATCTAGGTGTCCAACAGTCACAATGTGTCTTCAAAGCGATCGTAAATGTCCAAACCCAAAATCAAGAGAGAAGAATCACTTGGACGTCTCTAAAGAGGCAGGATGAGCTGTGGGGGATCCGAAAGACGGGCAGTTCAAGAGACACTGAGCGTAAGGAAAGGAAACCATTGGTGGAGACGAGGGAAGATAGCGGACAGCGAGGCACAGATACCGCAATGGTTAACGTGAAGTCCTACTTGGAGCACATAGTGTATGCGAGTCCAGGCGCACCTTGTCGCAAAAGTGGCCTGATCTTTGAAGCTGCAAACCCAACAGACTCATTTGGGAACTGAGCTTGGTCCGGTGTTCAAATCGCAAAATGATCCTTTAGAGAAGACGAGGTCAAGGATCGAATAAAAGGAATCATACCAAGTTGAAAGGCAGGCAAGCCCGCTAAGGATGCGGGGTGACGCGCGCTCGCAGCGAAGAGTATGCTCCAGCGGGGGCAAAGTAGGGGTCTACCGCCTTCCAGCGGGTTGCCGTTTTGTCGTCGCCTTAAAATTTACGATGAAGTGGCAGTCCATTAAAGATTCAGGTAGGTGGTGGGACCAAGAAAAACTTGAGAAACGATCTGAAATCCGGAAAAGAGGCCCCTACATTCCTGCTAGTTTCCGCAGTGATGCGACTCTCATCGGTGCTGCTCTTTTCAACGCGTAGCGTCCTCATTGCTAAGCGGACCTGCGGCGATTAGTTAGCCAATCGGTGGGCGTGGACAGCGCCGCGGGGGGCCATGCTAGGAGCAGGACCATATCCATGGCTGTGAATTGTGTGCCGGTCCACACCCTCAAGAAGCCCCCTCTCTATCCACTAGATAAGTTTCTTCTTCTTCGATCTTCGACCTTATCGTGGAATCCTCCTTCAGAGGAAAGCTCGTTGCTATGTAAGGGGTTATAGGGTTGGACCAAAGTCCTGAAGGGGATCTTATTCAGGATTTGGTAGGCTCGAATTGAGCCAGATAGCAACTACTCGAATGCATGCACTTTTCAAGAAACCTATCTGAACCGTCGTTCCACGAATTTGACAACTGGGAGCGACTGTGATCCCCTTTTGAGCCCAGAGTTGTATGTCTTCGGGAAACCCCGATTTAATAAATTTTTTGTGGAGTGAGAGAAAATAAAAGGGGAGCAACAAATAAAAACATGTGAAATAAAGGGCAATTATGTAAAATAGTTAAAACGCAAATAATTTACAAATATAATAAGAGTTTATGATCAGAAACACGCCTAACTACTAAATAAATGATCAAATAAGTAAATGAAAAAGATAAGAGAATAACAAACACTAACCTGGCCTTCATCACGACGACCTGATCTTTTTCTATATTTCGCATTGAAAACCGCAAAGCGGCAAAAGTTATCGATCGCATAGTTTCGATCGATGAAAGTTGAGCAAGAACAGCTAAGGCACTCAATACAGGCGGTTCACCGAGCACAACTAGTCGAGTTTCTGACGTGTCGACAGAGCTTAGCAATCGGCCGAGCATGCTGCCACCGCTGCAGGGTGAACTATGAAGCATGACAACTCGTCCTAAAATGGATACTAATGTGACCAGAGTCGTTTTTGGAAGCTGTCCTCCAGAAAGGCCACTGACCTTTTGACGAAGGAATCCTCGATTTTGTTTCCCTGACGAATTCGCCGATTTCCATTCGGGCGACCCGATCAGCTGAGCTGTGACAAAGTGCCGTCAGACGGGGTGTCTTAGAAATGGACTGTGATGATTCGTACGGTATTCGAACAAAGTACACGTATCGTTCTGTTATGGTATAGATCATCCAACTGAAAATTTCTTAGAGCTTAAAAAACCAATTTTAAATTCTTCCGGAAACATACCATGGTTCGATTAATTCGTCAAGAATCCCAAAACCATCGTTGAATAATAGAAAATCATGGTCTTGGGCAATATCTGTGGAATCCAGCCGGTACCTAAAAATGTTTAAATGTTTGCAGACTCAGGTGTCAACGAGGGTTGAACACTCAAAAGCTTGCAATTACCGAAGGAATTTTTACCTAACAACCACCCGTTGCGAACTTCAACTTTCGACTAGTTGTCCCCAATTGTGCATATCAGCACATGAAATTCACAGAATAATTATTGCTCAAATTTGCAAATTATTAGCGCGAGTGGGGTTCGAACCCACGAGGACTTGCGTCCATTGGAACTTAAGTCCAACGCCTTAACCACTCGGCCATCGCGCTGCATGGCGACTAATCATATACTGGGGTGTGCACCTTTAGTCAGGATTGACCTTTCACACCTCCTCGCCGTGGTTATCTCGCACCACCCTGTAACCTGCCTCTGGGTGAACCTCACTTAATTAGCTGAGCTAAGTGCTGACCCAGCTAGACGGACTTATGGAAGATATATTGATGTTGGTATCTAATAAATTCATTCATGCAGTAGCGGTTAGAGGAAACAAAATCTCAGAAAAAAGGATAAAAATGGGTCTCAAAAATAATTAATTTTTAGCTAACAGCACTCGCAGAGCGAGCCGTTTCCACGCAGAACAGGTGCGGAAGGAGAAACTCCAGATTGGGGGGGGGCACTCCATTGTTTCTCCAATGCTCAAGATAAGGATGAGAGCACTAATGACACGTAATCGGCTCATTCAGATTCCGATTAGTATCGCTGTAATGTGGAAGAAGTCCCAAGATTTCTTCACATATTCGCCTGCCATGGTCCATGAAAAGGTTCTAGACAAGGATAATGGACACCTCTACCTATCTAAGGGGTTGAGCTCCAAGGTGGATGACCTGGGTAGAAAAGTGGATAGATGTGGGCAGGATGTGTGGAACGGAGAGCATCCACCAGGCCTTATCAAAAGTACGCTTAAAATGGGTCGTTTACTTATTATCTTATCATAGTGTTGGATAGCACAAAATAGCACAAGTGAATGCTCTCTAGTACTACGTATAAGTTAGCAATGGAGTGGCCCCCGAACTGAAGTTTCACCTTACGAAATTAAAAGTTTCGCCTAACTTTTCTACAGGCAAGCTATCAGGTTGTCCCATAATTAGTGAATCACTTTGGGCATTTTTCAATTTCAATTTCAATTTTTTTCTTTTTCATATGAAGTGCTTGCTCATCTAATCATCACCTTTGTTATCCACAAACTATTGCCTACACATGGGAATTTGGTCGCCGTCTCCTCTCTGGAATTCCAGGAGATATTGATAAAAGGAAGATCGGAAGTCAGGTTTGAGGTCATGTCACTTGGCGTAAAATTTCTTCCTGAAGAATAATGGTATAAGTAAGTCTAGGTTATCTTTCGCTGATACGAGGGTAGGGCTTCACGGTAGAGCTGGAAGAACTGCTAGCCCAAAGGTCTGCCAATTTTTTATGAAGATTTTCCGAAAGGTGGGGTCGAATGACCTCAGGAAAAAACCAGACTTTGTCTTGCTTTACCCTCAGATAGAACGCATCGCCATTATGCTGTCAACGTATGCCTTACTCACTGACTCTAGTATTACTAGGCTCTGGTTCCCAGCGCCAGGTCTGTTCTGTGCCCCACTAAAATCTCAGAAGTGCCAGACTAAGGGTCGTACAGAGGTGTTGTGCTTTGTTGTCAGACATCTCGCAATCTGTTTTTTTTTTTCCCCGCCCTCTCCAAGCTACTCTGCTGCTCCTTGTGAATTTGCTAGCACACTCCACCCACTTCACAACACTGGTGAGTATGCAGGATGATCACTGAAAAGAACTCTGGGAAGCAGGAGCGAACATGGCGATTTCATATCGTGTTTGGGGGAAGATTTCAGAAAAATTGAAATTTGAGCCTCGGAAAGGAAACGTGTGAACGGGCCGACTGATTGCTTAGGTAGGACATTGTGGTCACTACTTGGCAAAACATGTTTCACGCCTTCAAGATTTTTCATGGAATTTATAGCAATAAATTCAAAGTGATTCACTAATTATGGGCCAACCTAATATTTATGAAAAAGTGTTGCCAAAACGGCACATCTCAAGAAGAAATAGAATGACTTCGCAGTAGGATGTCGAGAAATGTCACTAATACGTCTGTATTATCTGAATTTTTTGTTAACTATGCTAAAAACTTGTATAAATTAAACTTTTGTTTTGTTTCCGTGAATATAGTAAAGATAGACTTGATAATCAATACTGCGCATGAGAGCGATATGTTGGAGAGAGGTCAGCACTCAGCACACCTAATTAAGCGAGGTCTACCCAGAGGCAGGTTACAGGGTGGCGCGAGATAACCACGGCGAGGAGGTGTGAAAGGTCAATCCTGACTAAGTTCCCTCTCCCCATCTCTGGTGTCGCAAACGGCATACTCCAAATGGGCAGCCGGCAGGATTGTAATGATTTCGTGTCTGGTAAATTTATACCAGCACGGCCACCAAATAATTTCAAAGGGATTTAATCTTCTTTTTACGAGTTTGTCTTATTTTTTACATACCGTGTTAAAATATTGAAAAATTCCACATTTCCAGTTCTCTCATGTTGGATGAGCTTCCGTGCCAATGTGTATAAATCTGATTCTACAAATATAATAGTTCGAACGACACGGTAGAGAGCATAAAATAGCAGCTGTAGAGGTAGTAGTAAGTACGGATCAATGACGGACATCTGAAAAATTGGATTATTTGCAAATCAAGCTTGGGATTTTTCAACCATTCGAGCGCGTTCAACGGTATGAATGGCTTTATTGTGATTTATCGCATTCCAAGATCACGTAATGTTAACACATGAACGAAATTCGAGATACTATGTAGTCAGGAGTGATAAAAAGAAGGACAAGCGCCTTGAAGGGTGAAAATGAGGGCTAATTTAAGTATTACTAATAATACCTGTATGTATCAATTGTATTACTAACCTAATAATGTATAATAAGTAATAACATACTAATAATGATGGTATCCTAATATAATGATTACCTAAGAGAGACTGCGGACTAAAGGTGAGGAAAAGATTCAAAGAGCGAGAGAACATACTTATACTCTACTACGGTATGTGTGTGAGGGGCGGACGGTTCCGAGACTTGCAGGGGGTGTATGAACTTTAAGAAAATAACCTCCCCGCGGGGCAGATTATTGAAGAGCGAGATACAGGCATATCGCATTTATGATAGGCGTGCAGTCGTGGTGTGCACATGGATGAAAGCCATAATACCTTGGCGCCCTTGCCATTCATTAAGGGCAGAATTTACGATGAAAAACGCAACCCATTCCAATTAAGTTAAGAATGGTGAGTGATACAAAAAAAGGAGAAAACCCGTTGAGAAACGGCCCGAACCAAGAAATTGATTCCTTCCTTCTTCGATGACCGGCATTTGATCGTTCATGCGTTTATCTCTTTTTAACGGCGTCCTTTGCTTCTAACACTCGCTTGTAATAGACCGCGCGAGTGATTAGATAGTCGTAGGCGACTCAACTCCGTGATCGCGCCCAAAATGAGCCTGCTCGCCTTCGCCGAGGTCAATAATTCGCCAGCCAAGTCGTTTCAGTTGCGCCCATTAGAAGTCGCTTTTCCCATCTAGCAATTTTCCCCTTTCTTTTTACCTCCTTCCTTGTCGTGAATCGCTCATAACGTAACCTGGCGCACCTATTACTTCTTACCAGCAGCCTTCAATATTTACCAAAAGTAGGCAGACGCCTCTGAGCTATTTATGAATATACCTTCAATCTATGAACTTCCATTCACATATCTGTGAGGCTAAAAGCATATTTGACGAAATCTCCGAAACAGAGCTCGAATATGTGTATGGTTGGTGTATTAGAATATGTAGAAACATCTATAACAATAAAGGGGAAGGGGAGGGCGGGTGTCCGGTGCAGGGCGACTACTGTACTTTCGTGCCTCTATAATAATTCCCATTTTTACACGGGAAAGAAGCGCAGGCTGACTATGAACGAAGGATTCGAACGCACTCCCCGGGGTCCTCTTCAGCAACAATCGAGATTACTAAGCGGCACGAGCTACTTCACTGAAACCCTCCCATATTCAGATCGAATCGAATAAAACCATCTCTACACTTAGACGCTCGATTAGTGACTTTTCGAGAGCTAACCAGGGGCTAATGATGTATAGGTGGTAAATCAATTATTAATGATTGTAAAACCATACTCATATGTAGGTCATGGAGCGGAAGAACAGGTTACTATGCTGTTGACTATTTGGTGAGAAACTTGTCAGTGGCAATAAAAGGCACATACACTGGTGTGCAAAACTTAGGGACGAACGTAGCTTTTCCAACGACGTGTTACTGGCGCGTAAGATGACTCTATGGAACCTAACCACACATACAAAGAGCTGTCACAGGGCACTAAAGAAAGCAGTTAACAGGAACCGTTAAACGGTCCACAAAGCTATCAGAAGGTTATGATACTTCATCTGTCTCGTCCTTAGTTTTTGGCACACCAGTTTTACATAAGCAGCTACACCCTGCGCTGTATTAGATTGACTTGTACTCATTTAGATGGCATTTACACTTCGCACAACTGCTAAGCACCGTATCTAGTGCGGAAAGCGCTGCACGCATAGATTTGTGACGCCCCTCAGCCGTCCATAGTGGTATACAGGGACCGTAAACTGAGATCTCTCGAGCAATTATTCTGCTTCCTCGCATCCCGTACGTGGCAGGTCAAACATCTGTCCGAACCTAATTAACATGGCAAAGAGGGTCAATCGTACTCGAACTGGTCAAGGTTAATCATCTTTTGGAAAACTGCAAACGAGGATGGTTACTGTGGAAGTTGAAAGAGTCGTGGTTTCTGAGGGGGATGGGTGTGTCTTCAATGGGTTTTCGACGAATGTAAATAAGTTTGAAATAGACAAAATTCGATAATTTACATTCTTCAGTACTTATCGCCCCTCAACTGGCTGCCGTTTCCACGTATAACGAAGAACGTGGGCGGAGTTAGAGTGTGTCGACTGACGGCAAAAATTCCCTTTGCTCAGTCGCGCTCTCCCGCGCGATGTTCACTCTCGCCACCCGCGAGCCGTCTGTGCTCTCCGCGCGTGTTCACTCTCGACACTACTCTCGCACAGTAGAGAGCCATGGTCGAGGATTCCTCGACCGTTATTCACCCTGACTGGCGGTGGTCGTGGGGGGGGGTGAGGACGGGGACCGTAATGAGAACCTGCCTTTATGCTGATGGTGGGATTCCCCCTGAAGACCTAAAATTTCAAAAAAGTGCGAAGGGAACGGTTGATTCTGTTGCGGAGTGATTTTCCATAATCAGCATAACACCTGTGGTGCTTGCATAGGGGTGTCCCCCAAGAGGCCCATCGCGCGGCGAAGGAAGAGACGCAGACGCGGCAAAGGACGAGTCGCAGCGCATACTGTAGCGGTTAGGCGTCAGGTTAAATAGAGTGTACCATACTACGTCTCATATCGCACAGCACGCGCTGCGACTCGTCCTTTGCCGCATCTGCGTCTCTTCCTTCGCCGCGCGGTGGGCCTCTTGGGGGACACCCCTTGCATACATAGTACAGAAGCAAAGAGTATGGGTACAACTCTAAACACCTACCCACGATTGGGTACCTCGTCACTGTAAACTAATAACCAGAAAGTGATGACAGCTGATATGGGCTGATAAGAAGCGTTGAACGCAACGTCACGAAATTCACAGCGCAAGGCCCAGCAGCATTGAGGCGTTGCTTTGCAGATATGATATAGGGGTGGGACGGGAACATATTTGATGGGGACCAGAAAGTGATAACGGCTGATAGGGGCTGATAAGGAGCGATACAAAGCAAATGTACTGAAGTTCTTATCCAGATGTGGGATAAGAAAACATCATTTTTGCGATGTAGTCGTGATCCATTCGACCGCTAATCTGCCCGAGCTTCCTAAGATGGTCGGTGTCTGTGGAAATACGATAAATTGGTAATTCTATCGCATCACCGGTAAAAGAAGTTATTAGACCGCTAAACTATCCCAGTATCCATGGTAGATGTTTACGCTGAGGGCTGATAATAAGCAGCCCAAGTAATTGTATTAGTTATCCAAAGGTCATTCGGCTGCTAGACTTTGTTAGTTCTAGAAAAATGATGGATGTTTATTGGTATTGGAACTATGAGAAATTACTGCTTTATCATCTGCTTTCCTTAATACCATCAGTAAATCAATTGAAAGCAGTATGTTTCTCAATACAACAGCCCGGCTATACTCTGTTTCACAGAAGCCTATGTTGACATGCGCGCGATAGCGGGCGGAGCAAAACTGGTGATCGAAAACGTCGCAAACAACCCCGCAATATCGATTTTTGGGGCCGTCACTGCACTAACAAATAATTCTGCAATTACGGCATCTTCGGTAGTGGGAAACAAAGCACATACAAAAGTCACCCAAAAAAAAAAACCCAAAAAAGTTTTCCATGTTTAGTGTTTATTATTTGGTCGACATGTGAGTATAAGAACTTAATGTGCATCATGTATAAGCACGATGATTTTGCCATGAAGACTTTGTAGTGTCATAGTTTACTGTTGATCATATGCATGAAAACAACGAAGAGTTCGGAAATAAAAGTGAAAATGATTATCCTTCGCTATCCCTGCTATCAAGGAGGCGGCAAAGCCAGAACGCCAGAATAATAAATCTTTCATAACATCTTGGCTGTGGCCCCGTGCAATCATATTTCAATGATGCGTGCCATATTGCATTCCTCAAGGGAGTCAAGTGCGAAGTGCATTGCAATGAGAATGGCCCGATCAGACAGCCTGAGATTGATTCTTAGTGGTCAATTCTGAATCAATAGACTGATATTTAAGTGGGTATGACTTAGATAAATCTACTAAAAGAGATTATTTGGGTATTTTTATATCATTCCTTATACATTGCTATTATACAATTATTATTCCTCTGATTTGGTATTGTCATGGAAGGAAGAGGGATGCTGATGCAGAGTGGGACGCACTTGCATGCTTTCGGTACGAGAATCATCGTGAATTAAGTTATGCCTTTCATCCTCCAGGGTTGTTTGATCAGTAACAGGCTTGGATGCAAGCCAAAAAATCCTGACTACATACTATATTCATCGGCAGAGCCCTGCAAGTCGCTGTGTGGCTTACTTGCATTCGAGTTCCACCACGATTCTGATCAAGTTGAATTCGTGGCGCTCCCAAGAAGGCAATTGATTGGTGTACATCGGGTGCTTTATTTCTATCACTGCCTCATCTACTATTTAGCGTTATCATATTTATTTAATATCATATTTTTAGCTCACATTTGTCATTATCCTAACGCAAGTACACTAATAGATCATTTTGTTATTGTACAACTACAATTATAGTCTTAATGAATATCAGTTGTGATTAAAAAGGTATACTTCGATCAGCGTACGGGTGTCATATGAAGTTACTCTTAAGGATTAATTCACAATTCGCTGGAGTTTGTTAAAGACAAATGTACTGAACTAAGGAATGGACAATTTTTTTTTTTTTATTTTTTGTTTCGCCATAGTCAAGGGTCAGGTAAGAAAGCCTCAAATGAAAGATGTCAAAAAATGGCCTACCACGGTAGCGGGCGTGTGTGAGTGGTAAGACGTACACGGGTCTTCGTCAGAAGCACGTTCAAAATTAGCCCTTTACCTCTTATCTTACGTTTCAGGACTTCTGTCAACCGCAAGGCATGGCGGCTCAGCGTTTTGTAGTGATTTCTGGATTCTCACAAAGGGACACTATATAGCATTCTCTTCTTGATATTCTCGAAAAGACTTCAGTCCTTAAGAAGCCACGAATGTTGGTGTGCTTTTCAGCTGTGCTCTCACCTTTTGTTGACCGAACGGGTGTTAACAATTACAGTTCAGATAGCTAGATGTGTGCTCTTTGTATGATTACTAAGCTAAGTATAGGGCTGTGCCATTATCCGAACGGCCTAGAAAGTTATTGAGACGAACTTTCAGTCGAATAGTGCTCACTCATTGAACGAGTATTCAATCAACAAGATATGTCACGGACAATAACGTCTTTGTAGGAGCACAGACCCAATCTCCAGCAGCAGACTGCATCTTGCTTCAAATTCAGTGGCACCATTATGGCCCCAAACAAAAACTTTCCATCTCAGTTCGAGAGATGTCAAATCATCGGAATTCTTCGTGGCGCTTAGGTAACGTTCCTTTGCCTAATGTCACTAATCAGAAGGGCTGGGTCCGACGACGGTGAGCTGGACACTTCTAAGCTGAAAGGCTTATTTTGACATGATTTCGCCAAGTGAGAAGGGCGTCGTCGCTGACTGGGAGGATATTGAGAACTTCGAGCAAATTTTGGCCCCGATGAATGGCACTTTGTTTGTGATATTAATGGATGGTTAACGCGAACCTAGGTTAACCATAGAGTCGACCGCTAAAAAACTGTCGAGGTCTCTCCGAGTTGAGCGAAGAAGGAGAAATTTAAGTACGATTATTCCATTTCTCTTTTCAGACCCGCGATAGTCATGTTGTAGTTGTTGTTGTGAGAACAGCCCTTGCGAGATTATTGGAGATGTGCTCGACAATTTTGGGTGGGGTGGAGCCCAGCATTATTACCGGCCCACCCCTAGTAGTTCCTTTACCCTTCAGGAAGCCGAGCAAATACATCTTTTCTCTTCCTGAAGTCGTTCTGAACTCCTTCGGTTGGGATGTATATTCCAGCAGATCAGAAGCCTCGGATCTGATCAGAAGAACGCTGTGACTTATTGAATGTGGCATTACTAGTGAGTATCACCACGATGTAGCTGCAACAGCCCAAAACAAAAGGTAACGAGTAGAGAAGTCATAGCGATGCAAAAAGTCAGAGATGATTTCGGGTTAACAGTTGAAGCTGCGAACGTTGCTAAAAGCGAGAGGTTGTCTGCAGGACTGGAAACTTTCGATAACGCACTACAGTATATCAAACTGAAGCATGACTTAGATTACTTATCAACTCTACCTCAAACTGCTTCAAAGGTTATGAAATGGAGGAATGCAACCTTTTCATCGAGGGTGTAGATTTCGGCGGTTTTTTTTTGGGAATTTCAGCAAATCTGACCCAGTGACAATCGCGCCGCAGCTGCCGTTGAATCGGCCGTTGATTGATACACTCGGCTGTTTTGATATACTCAAGCAGGAATTAAGATTAAATCGCAACCCCGTGCCTTCAGGATTTCTGTGCATTTCTAGAGGAACCTGCCTTTGAAAGCACACAAAGTTAATGCCTCTTTCCTCGAGTCTACATTTTAGCAAATACACGAAAGTGGGCAGCGATGAAAAAAGTGCATGGAAGACAAGATAAGGCGTCTATAACATTATTTTGCAGAATTTTTTTTCGATTAATCAATTGAATTGATATGCTCTGTACGAGTAAGTAAGTACGACCTCCCTATCGAAGTGCGTCAGGAGCTATTAGGTACCGGATATCTTAATGTCGTTTTTTCACCAAGAGTTTTGGACCAGCAATATTTCAGTTCAAAACCCGGGGAGCGAATTAGTTTAATCATAAAATGACTTACTAGGATCCCCTCATCTAACAGTTTGAGAGTGGAAACCTTGCACGATCCAAGCTCGGAATTTTTTGAGTTAAAAAGGAGAGAGGCAGGTCGGTTTTGACATCCTCTGATAAATCATCCCTCTTACTTGCTAAAAAGTAAGGCCTGGACAAAGTAAGTATACAGCTGGTTAGCGTAGGGTCTGCATTGCACGACAGAAAAATTAGAACTTATCAGCCCAAGTGGGCAGTTTTTTACGGAGACTTTTTTGCAACATAGGGTCAAAAACGCACCCTTTTTGAGCGCGCGTGAGAGGCAGGTGAGCACATTTATCAGAATATCTTGCGGAATCAAATTCATAGGAATGTTTGCGCATCATCAATTCCATCACAGTGAAAGTATCCTACCATTTCAGCACAAGTCTGGTGCAGCCCCTTCTCAGCTGGCTTAACTAGGGCCATCTTTTTGAAGACGATTGCAGGCATCCTTTCAAAAACTTCACTGTCTTTTAAGAAAACTGAGGAGAACCGGTGAGCATTCCAAACGGTAGTATTCCTCCAACAAAAGCAATGTTAGTTTGGTTTGGCGGATCTGTAGCTCCCAGCCCGACTTTGATGGCATTTGGTACACACATACGAATTTGCGCAATGAACCCAGGAATTTTCAGAAAAAGGTATAAAAATTGGGGGAGAGGTAAATTGTAAAGTAACAATAGGGACTAATAAGCAACATGTTACGTAGTATTAATAAGCAAAAGAACGTTCTGAGAAATTGATTTTCCATGGTAATCGGCCCCGAAACTTCCTGAACTCAGAAAAACGACATTAAGATATCCGGTACCTAATATGTCATCGAGGGGCGTAATTTCTCTGCTTTCGTTCCTTCCTTAATAACTTAGTCCTAGTGCTCCCCAAACGCGTGAGAGTCCCAGAAAAACACAAAGTAGTGCTTTTCTGTCTGGGCTCTCACGCGTTGGTTGACCACCGCCCCGTAAGCTGGCGAAGGGCTCGAAGGGAGGCGCTGCAAAATCATCAAGGCGGTAGCTAAGAGCTGATCTCAGACTGGAAAGATAATGGGAATGAGGAGAGGCGAGACAGTTAGACGAGGGATTGGCAATAGTTTTCATGGAATAACTTATTGTCAGTTCAAGCATATTAGTAGCTTTACACATGGTTAGACTCGCCACAGAGAGGCGAGTCTATTGCTGTAAAGATCTTTTCCATTTTACCCGCTTTCAAGGAAGTTATAATGGTGCGACGGTTTGCGACGCTACAGAACCGTCGCAACGCGTAGATGTTACAAAAGTTAGGAGCAGTATTGTATATCAAAATATCAACGTTGTCAAAAATTGAGGGAGCTCTATTTAGTTTCACCATCGTGATGCTATTGCCCTGTTCTTTGACCCTTGGACAAAGCAGAAACATAAAAAATGGTAAAAAAAATGAGACAAAATTATAAAAGCAGTTTTTTGCCACTGGGACCGCGTTTCGGAAAATGGTATCGACGAAGATTATCAATCACTACCCGGGTAGACTAAGTGCAGAAAGGGCATTGGTGTTGAAAAGCGGAGAAGTAAGACCACATGTTTGCGGTTGAAAGTGCAGCCGGTTTCTTAGACATCACATTTTGCTGCTGTACACTAGAGGGAGTTGGATTTGCAACGGAATTTACAACAATCCTGAGCAATCCAGACCCACATTTATGATAGCTCATTTCTAAACGCTTAAAATTTTTGAATCATTCAAAATTCAAGAAGCTGGAGGCTTTCTCCCAAATCTGCCAACTGCTATTCCCCCTTCCGCCTTCCTCCAGTGAGTTCATATTGGAACCTCTCGCTAAGTACTAAAAAAATCAAACAGCCCCCGTTTGATGCCTCGAAAAATTAAGAATCGAAGTGCATTGAAATTTCCGCTACTGATTCTTGAATATGCCTGCAGACAGAGTGGGACTTACTCAAATCACGTAGTGCGGTTAACGAGGGTTTCCTAGTGATGCCTTGCTTGTGCACTTTTCACTTAGAAAAAATTTCGCCACGCCTTCTTTGAAGAGGCCATACCCCAAGTGAAGACCATCAAATCTGCTACAGTTTCTTTTTCTCACCAGAGTAGGCTCGGGCACAAAGAACATAACACATGATCTACAGCGCTATGAACAACTTGTTCTTGAGTGAAGTGGAGCTATCAAATTTCCCGACTGAAGCTTTTAGTGTAATGAGGAAGAAAAGTGCAAGGTTATTTCGAACGGAACAATTGCATCCTTCGAGCAAAATCTATACGCTCCAATCGGTCAGTGGAAGGCTTCGTTAGTAAGTGTTCAACTTGATTCACGCTGTTGCCATAAGTTTAATAGCCAAGTGTTCAACTTGATTCACGCTGTTGCCAAATAAGTTTAATAGCCACTGCAACGCTCTGAGATTCTCCGCGGGTCCATAATATCAGTAACTGCTCAGCTTTTTGACCAATTCATTTTTAGGACGAAATTGGGATAGAGGTAGGATCAATAATTGATTTAGAGGCGTATAAATGAATACACAGTAGAATAAATTTAACCCATAACTGATGTGGATTCAGATACTTCCCTTTGGTTTTATAATTTCCAGCAGGACGCGCCGAAATGTTATGGGTGATCGATCACAGCGGAACCGAGGATATTTGAAAATGTGCTATTGATTGACTGGGTTTTTGGCACTATTCGGAAGTGGTGTAGTGGCAAGTGGCACGCTTACCACGCGAGCGGTCCGGGGATCAAATCCTGGGTCGTGAGTCGCCCGGGCCAACCAAGCCTTCCATCCCTCCGGGGTCGGTTAATTGGTACCAGACTTGTCTGGGAGGATAAAAAAACACTGACTTGTACATCGGCTGGCCCCCGCAAGTCATTGTACAGGGGTGGCCAAAAAAAGACACTTTGCCCATGGCGCACATCATCAAACTTTTCGTCGCACAGGGTGCCGCTGTTGATGAAAGTTTTACGGCAAAATATTCCTTAGATGTTCCCCCATAAGCAGAAGCAGGCCCTCCTTCACTGCCCTCACCGTCCTCAAAATATGACGTCATCTTCCATCACCGTTGAGCTCAAGAAGGCCTAAAGTAATCGTTCCAGCCTGAAGCTGCTACGGAATTTCTTCAATCGGTTAACTGACGGAATTGCTTCCTAGAGACAGTAGCTCTAAATATGCAAGACCCCTTCCGACCAGCGTTTCAGATAACGTCGTAAAGGTCCATGATCCGCCGAGGACCAGTTGAGCTCGAACCGTGCACAAGGTTCCCATGGCAAATTCTTGTGATGTCCTTGGTGCAGAAAGCTATTATAACGTTTATTGATAGATTGGGATGTGCTCTTTAATACTAAGTTGGGAGCAGTCGGTTTGAGTTTAGCAAAGTGTGATTAATGCTGTCTGAAATGTGAGTGAAGTGTCTCCTTTTGGCCACCCTGTATAGGCCACATCGCATTCAAACGCCACTACGAATGTACAAATGGAAGTAGAATGCGTGCCGCATCCCAAAAAGGGATTGATCAACGGCAAATGCTTTATCCTTTTATGCTCTATTCGTTCAGCGAAGGCTTGTTTTACGACGAAATGGAGGGCCTGACAGCAGTCTCGAACAACCACTCTCTCGACCGGGACAGCTTACTTCAATGAGTGTTACCAGAAAGAAACAGAACTTTCATTTAAATAATTCTTGTACCATTTTGAGGGTTACAATGGATGATACTGTAACCTTGATTCAATAACCAGGTGGCAGACTGGAAATCGGTACTAACTTCAGCATTCCCGAGGGCACTGTCACTAGTGGGGGTAGATTGTTCAATGATACACTCAAGCCATTAGAAACCACAAGGAGCGGGGTGAGGGAGCGTTGTGTTACGGTGCTCCCCAAGCATTTGATAACCACTGTAAACATTTAGAATAGATTATACACACTTAGTGAGTCAGGGCATCACCCCTCCGTGTGGAGGAACTCCGAAATGGGTGCTTGATTTATTCATCATGGTGTTCCTCACTCAGTGAAATTCCTTATCTGTTGGCTCAGAATCGTCTTTTTTTTTCTCAGCAGAAGAATTAAGAAAATATATATATATAACAATAAAAAGCAGCAATATTGCACAAACACAAATTCGAAGAAATAAGAAATAATGTCGTCATGAACATCACATGTGGCATGTGGCAAGTTTAGGAGTGGTGTTTATTTTGGAAATACAGTCTATTAGCAATCAAGGCAGAGGTGGTTGGTGATGTAGAGATGAACTAAAACTCAAAAATTGGGCTCTTTTTGCCCGATAATTTGCACGTTAGGCGTGTTTTACCGGTGCAGACCTTATCAACGCTAACGCTCTCTCTGCTAGGCTGCCAGAGCTAGACAGCGAGAGGTCCGGCGATAGCGGCGCGGAGACGGCCATGCTATATAGTGGGGAGCACGTACTTTGCTGCAAATTGCGCGTCGGTCCATATCCCTAGGAGGTGTGCCTGTCCTTCCACTAGCCAATTTTCCTTTCCTTCTACCTCCGACAACCTTATCGTGAAGCCCTCCTTCAAAGTGATACCTGAGCAAAATTGGATTTACCGTAACACAGCTCCTTCTTGAGCTAACGCCGTCCGTTTCTCCAAACCAACGAGTATTAG